GTCTAACTTGAGAAAGTTAACTTTCGTGAACTTTGGTAAAAACATGCTAGTCCAAAATTTAATTGAGTTAATAGATGGTTTTGTCGATAGAGCAGAGATGTATCTGTTGACCTAGCATAGACTAAATGGTTTTGGTTTTTAAATGCAACCTTTTCAAACAGTGCAAGAGATTGCTGTGTTTTAATTGTGATTGCAAACATTTGGTTTTGACTTGAGAAAGCTTAATCAATTCTGCAAACCAGGCTAACTAAACTTATTGTAAAGCACTACTTGAGAAGTAATTAATCCAGTTTCATGAAGTACTTTAGTGAAGAATACCCTAGTCTCTTAATTGTTTCAAGGTCGATTTGATTTTATACTGCTTTAAACCATTGTTTTCCTAATTTCATTTCACAAACTCTTTTACAACAATTGTTTCACTTAACCTAATCAAATACACAATTATGATTTTTAACTCATCTAGCCTTAGTCTCTGAGGGAACGATACTTTTTATATTACTTGCGACCCGTCCACTTGCGGTTAAGTTTATCGGTGAACAAGTTTTTGGCGCCGTTGCTGGGGACTAACGGCGAGAGTGTTTGAGGTTGATTGTCCTTATTGTGTGATTGGTTACGCTTAAGTTTCAGTTAGCATTTGTAGTGGTTATAGGTAGTAGTAGTATTTTTTCGTTCATTTCTCTTGATAAGTTTGATACTTTTGTTTTGATTTGAATGTGCAGGTAACCCCTGACGCATGCAAGGAAGACTGGAAGTTATTGTGGAAGAAGTTACTGAAGAAGAATCCAGGTGGGAGAAACTGAAAACACACCGGAGATTCAACAACAACCTCAGTTACTTCCACTACCACCACCTGAATCAGAATCAGAAGAAAACATGGCGGAGGAAGATGAGAACGACGTGTACACCCTGGATGACTATTTGGATAAAGAAGGGCAGACTTTTCACTCAAGTATCCGTCTACCAGACATTCAAGCCAGGAATTTTGAAATCAAGCCCGTTATGATTCAACTACTGGGGATGATGGGTACTTTTGAAGGAAATTTTAATGATGATCCAATGAGCATTTGACCAAGTTTATAGAGGTTTGTGAGAACTTCAAACAAAATGGGGTTACTAAAGATGCACTGCGATTGAGATTGTTCCCCATGTCGTTATCTCACAAGGCGAAAACGTGGTTGAATTCTTTACCAGAACACTCCATTAAGACTTGGGATGATCTTGTATCTAAGTTCAAGGCCAGATTTATTCCAAGGGCAAACGTGCTACATTAAGGGGTGAATTGCTTTCTTTCGAGCAGCATCCGGATGAGTTATTCTACGAGGCTTGGGAAAGATTCAAGGATATGTGGAGAAATTGTCCAAATCATGAGCAAAAGAAATATGTTCTAATGGAAGCCTTCTGGAATGGGTTGAATGATCAGACAGTGACAATGCTGAATACCGCTTCAAACGAAGGAATCGGAAAGATGAAGGTAAATGAGCTATATGAACTGTATGAAGAGGTGGCATCTAGCACTATGCAACAGTATAACAAGAGAAGGCAAAGTTCTGGGAGATATAAGGAGCCTAGTTCTTTCATCAAGGGATATTGCATCGCAACTTGAAGCAATATCTAAGAGATTTGACAATCTGGAATTGCAGATTAAGAAAGGAAATGCTGCAGGAGTTCATGCACTTCAGGCTCCGGGATACACTTGTGACCATTGTAATGAGGAACATCATTCTGATCAATGCCCATACACCTTGGAGACAGTCAATTATATGAATAATGCACATGAAGACCACAAGGAAGCCCTTACTCTCTCAAACTTACAATCCAAATTTGAGAAATCATCCAAATTTCTCTTGGCGAAATGGGCCAAGTTTGAATCCACCACAAATATTACCATCTGGTGCTAAACAAATGGGCCTCCTGGTTTTCATGGTCAACCACAGCAACATCAATTGCAACAGCAGCATCCTCAAAAGGAAGAATCCAAAATTGAGAAGATGTTTGCTCAACTATTAGCAAATCAAGAATCTGCAAGGGCTGAGAATAAGGCAACATTTTCTCTCCATGAAACTGCCATCAAGAATCTCGAGGTTCAAATGGGTCAACTGGCTTCACAAATGAATGTACTCACAAGAAGCAGCTTACCAAGTGATACCATTCCCAATCCAAAAAGGGATGGTAATGAAGAGTGCAAAGCTATCAGTTTGAGAAGTGGAAAGCAATTACCTGACATTCAGAGGCCTAGTAAGACCAGCAAGGACATCACTAACAGTATGGTGACTGACCTTGATACAAATGAGCTTTCAGAAGAAGGTGGTGTAGTAGAAGAGGAAGAAACCAAGAAAAGGAAACAAACAGAAGAAAATCTCAATGATGTGGTTCGAGGAAAGAATGTAGAGGGTGAAATGGTTGATGATAAAAGAGAAGACACACTCCCCCTCCTGCTACACAGATGCCGCCACTTCCCTTTCCTCAAAGGTTCAGGAAGAAAGATGAAGATGTCCAATTCAAGAAATTTGTGGACATGTTTAAGCAATTACACATCAACATCCCGTTTGCTGAAGCATTAGAGCAGATGCCTAAGTATGCTAAGTTTCTTAAGGATGTTCTCTCCAAGAAGAAGAGATTTGGTGAATTTGAAACAGTAGCCCTGACTGAAGATTGTAGTGCCATCTTGCAGCGAAAACTCCCACCCAAATTGAGAGATCCAGGCAGTTTTTATATTCCATGCAACATAGGCAAACACTTCAATGGAAAAGCCCTATGCGATTTGGGAGCAAGTGTTAACTTGATGCCTCTAGCTGTATTTAATCGATTAAATTTGGGTGAAGCAAGGCCAACAACTGTTACATTGCTCTTTGCTGACAGAAGTATCTCATATCCAAAAGGGATTGTAGAAGATGTCTTGGTGAAGGTAGATAAATTCATATTCCCAGCTGATTTCATTGTGTTAGACTGTGAGGTAGATTGGAATATCCCCATTATTTTGGGACGGCCATTCTTAGCTACTGCAAGAACCCTATTGACGTAGAAAAGGGTGAGATCACCATGCGAGTAAATGATGAGAAGGTGATATTCAACATGAATCAAGCCTTGAAGTTTCCAGATGATTCTGCTCACTGTAATTGTATCGATGTGATTGACACTACAGTGCAAGAGGAGTGATTAACTCTTTGACCAAAGACCCATTAGAAGCATTGTTGATTGGAGAAACAAGTAGTATTGATGGCAAGGTTGAAGCTTATGCAGAAATGATGAGTATTGAAGCATTCCGTATCGAAAAGCTAAGACTTTTGAGCCTCTGATGTGACTAGTGCTTTAAGCTCTCCTCTAAAGCCTTCTGTGGATGAACCGCCAGTGTTGGAGTTTGAAGACTTTACCATCACATCTCAAGTATGCCTACTTGGGTAATTCTACTACTTTACCTGTGATCGTTCTTCTAAGTTGTCCACGTTGCAAGAAGAGAAACTGTTAAGGGTCTTGAGACACCACAAGAAAGCTATTGGGTGGTCTATAGCTGACATCAAAGGGATCAGCCCTTCTATTTGTATGCACAAGATTTATTAGAGGATGGTCACAAACCTTCCATTGAGCATCAAAGGAGATTAAACCCGGTTATGAAAGAGGTAGTTAAGAAAGAGATCCTTAAATGGCTTTCTGCTGGCATAGTCTACCCTATTTCTGTAGTTCATAGGGTGAGCCCAGTTCAATGCGTCCCTAAAAAAGGGTGGTATAAACTGTAGTGGCTAACACCCGAAATGAGCTAGTTCCAACTCGTACTAGACTGGGTGGAGAATTTGCATGGACTATCGAAAGTTAAATGTAGCAACCAGAAAAGACCATTTCCCGCTGCCATTTATTGATCAGATGTTAGATAAACTTGCTGGGCAAGAATTCTTTTGTTTCTTGGATGGGCATTCAGGATACAACCAATTGTAATAGCCCCAGAAGATCAAGAGAAAACAACCTTTACTTGTCCATATGGCACGTTTGCTTCAAAAGAATGCCATTTGGTCTTTGCAATGCTCCAGCAACATTCCAAAGATGCATGATGGCCATCTTTGCTGACATGATTGAGAAAACAATTGAAGTGTTCATGGATGACTTCTCTATTTTGGAGATTCTTTTGATTGTTGCTTAGATATTTGGCGGCTATTCTGCAACGATGTGAAGAAACTAATTTGGTTTTGAATTGGGAAAAATGTCACTTCATGGTGCAAGAGGGCATTGTCCTTGGTCATCGAGTATCCAAACAAGGCCTAGAAGTTGACAAGGCAAAGGTATCTGTTATTGAGCAATTGCCTCCACCAACAAGTGTTAAGGGTATTAGAAGTTTCTTGGGTCACGCGGGATTCTACCGTCGTTTCATTAAAGATTTCTCTAAAATCACTAAGCCTTTGTGCAATTGTTGGGAGAAAGATAGGGAGTTTCAAGTTTGATGACCTTGTATGAACTCTTTTGAAGAATTAAAGAAGAAGCTCACCTCAGCACCAATTTTAGTGGCACCTAATTGGGAGCTACCCTTCATCATTATGGCAGATGCTAGTGATTTTGCCGTTGGAGCAGTTTCTAGGACAAAAAGTAGAAAAGGTCTTCCATCCCATCTACTATGCTAGTAAAACCTTGGATGATGCCCAACTTAACTACACTACTACAGAGAAAGAATTGCTTGCAGTGGTGTTTGCTTGTGAGAAATTCCGGTCTTATATTGTAGGCACCAAAGTGACTATCTATACAGACCACTCTGCCCTAAAGTACCTGTTTACCAAGAAAGATTCCAAAGCACGCCTGATTCGATGGGTCCTTTTGCTTCAAGAATTTGACTTGGAAATTGTTGATAGGAAAGGCACTGAGAACCAAGTGGCCGATCATCTATCTCGATTAAGTAGTGAAGCTCAACATGATCATTGTCAAGAGATCAATGCAGCTTTTCCCGATGAATGCTTGTTCTTTGTGGATAACTCAACTACTCCATGGTATGCAGATCTGGTTAATTATCTGGTTTGTGGAACTCTGCCACTAGACCTTAACTCCCATCAAAAGAGGAAATTTCTTCACGATGCAAAGATGTACTTTTGGGAAGAACCTTACTTGTTCAAAAGATGTGCCAATCAGATGATAAGAAGATGTGTTCCGGAAGTTGAGCAGCAAGATATTCTAGAGTGTTGCCACTCTTCAGCTTATGGGGGCACTTAGAGAGAGAGAGAAAACGGCTGCCAAAGTCCTTCAAAGTGGTTTTATTGGCCTTCACTATTTAAAGATGCATATGCCTTTGTGATCCGATGTATCGGTGTCAACGAGTGGGAAACATATCAAGAAGGAATGAAATGCCTCTGAATAATATTCTGGAAGTTGAACTCTTTGATGTATGGGGAATTGACTTCATGGGCCCATTTCCAAAGTCTCTCAATCAAGAGTACATTCTGGTTGCTGTGGACTATGTCTCGAAATGGGTTGAAGCTACTGCATGTGTATCCAGTGATGCTAAAACGGTGATCAAATTCTTAAAGAAAAACATCTTCACGAGATTTGGAGCACCTCGGGCTATTATTAGTGATGGCAGTTCTCACTTTTGCAATCACCAATTTCAAGCTCTGATGAAGAAATATGGTGTAAAGCACAGGGTAACTTTGGCTTATCATCCTCAGTCAAATGGCCAAGCAGAAATATCCAACCAGATCAGAGATCAAAAGCATTCTTGAGAAAGTAGTAGGTGCAACAAGAAAAGATTGGTCATTAAAACTGGATGATGCTCTTTGGGCCACAGGACAGCATATAAAACTCCGATTGGGATGTCTCCCTATCGATTGGTGTTTGGAAAAGCATGTCATTTGCCTGTAGAATTGGAACATGGAGCTTACTGGGCCATAAAAAAGCTCAACTTTGACTTTTAAGCTGCTGGTGCAAAAAGGCTCCTTCAACTGAATGAATTGGAGGAATTTCGCCTTAATGCCTATGAAAGTGCAAGGCTCTATAAGGAACAGACCAAGAAGTATCATGATCAAAAAATTATCCCCAAGGTCTTTGAAGCGGGGCAAAAGGTGTTACTTCATAATTCAAAATTGAGATTATTTCCGGGCAAACTCAAATCACGCTGGTCAAGGCCATTGGTACAAGCTACTAACCATGGTGGTGGTAGGTGGAGTGGAAAATGAAAAGGGTGAAAGATTTCATGCAAATGGCCATCGTTTGAAGCATTATTGGGGTGTGAAAGGTGGGATCGTCAAGTCTCTACGATCTACTTTGCTGAACAATCATAACAGAGCTGAAGAGTCAGGCTGAAGACTATAAACCAAGCGCTACTTGGGAGGCAACCCAAGCTCTAAACTTGCCTTTGATGTGTTTCTTTTATTTCATTTGTTTTAGTAGATTTACGTTTGATCTTTGTTTTTGTAGGCCTTTTGGTTATTCCTCAAACTTTGGAGCTTAGCAGGAGTGGTTGATTTCTAATTAGCGCAACCAGGGAAGTGCATCTAACCTTAATCTCCAGCAGTGGCCTTGACCTTGATTGGTTGAATTTGTGTTAAATTGAGGCTTGTGGGTTTTTCTTTATGTGGTTGTTTTGTTGTGTTTGTTTTTATGCTTGTGCTTATGTTTAGTCTTGTTTTATTGTGTGTAGGGTGTTTGATTGTGGTAGGTCTAGTCTGTGTTTATTAATTTTCCATGTAGGCCTTCTGTGTGAGGTGCCGCGGCGCATTTTGAGGAGCCGCGGCGCCTCGTCTGTTTCAGAATACTCTTTTGTAATAGGCACCGCGGCCCCCTGTCTGTTTCAGAATACTCTTTGTAATAGGCGCCGCGGCCCCTGCGTTAATCTGCCGCGGCGCCTCGTCCTTGGTTTTAGGTCCGTCTTGGTAAAATCCGCCACGGCGTTTAGACATATAGGCCGCGGCACGAATGCTTTAACTAGCGTCTGCAATTCTGTAAAAGGCACCGCAACGCCTTGGTGAATCCACCGCGGCGTCTTCTCGCATCTTCTTCTTTATGTTTCCCATTTTAACCTTACTTATTTGTCTCAATTCCCACTTTGCCCTTGTGTATCTGACCAGTTTTGAGGGTAGATTCATTGTTTTAATTTTAAAACCCTAACCCTTTGGTCTTTTCACTCTCCATACCAATTTCAAAACCCCCCCATTCCCGTCAAAATACTTCGGTCCATTCCACTTTGTCTCTTCAGTTTCTCCCTCCCCGTCGCCGCCGGTCCGCTCTCGTTCTCCCCGTCGCCGCCGGTCGTCCCTTCTCCCACCACCAGTCACCTCTAGTTCTCCCACCGTCGGCGCCAAGTTTGTGCTTATGCTTCTGTGCCTTCCGTCCCCTGTCCGTCCACTTCCGCCCATTGTTCGTCCGTTCTCTTGCGGTTTGTGTTCTTTCTCTCTCTTTTATTTGTTTTATTTTAGTTTAGTTTTGCTGGAGATGGGTAATGCTAGGGTTGTGCATTGTGGTTAGATGATTTTTAAACTCTAGATGGGGGCATTTTGATTCTCTGAGGTTACATTGTGGTTAGGTGATAATTCCTTATTGCCCAACTATCTGTGAACATGTACTAATGAAAATGTGATACTTGTGAAATTGAGTGATCATAGCTTGGACCTAAATTGAGAAAATGAGGTGCTTGTCTAAATTTTCAAAAAACACCGGTTCATTACCCAAATTATGTTGTTCTTTTTCACTTGTATCTGATTTGGAAATGTTATTCTGATTTAGTGAAATTAGTTTAAATTGGCAGCTACTGATGGTTGTCTGATTTTGAAATTATTAGATAAAAGAGAACCTTTGTGAACTTAGTTTGAATTGGGGGTATTTTATAACTCAGGTTTAGAAAGGGATTAAGTAATGGTGAGATTGTGTTCTGGCTCTTTGATTTAAGTTTGGGGGAAAGTTTTTCTTTGCTTTTAGGTTAGTTTTCTTCTTTTTTCTTTGTCGGTTGTTTCGTGATTGGTTGTGTTATTTGCTTAGTTTGTGTGTGGTGTGCTTTGCTTTCTCTTTACAGGTAACAATCCAATGGCCCCCAGGAAGAAAGCCCGTGCTACCTCCCCTGATCCTCCAATTAAAGAGCTTATTGAAAGAAGAGGTTTGCATCAAGAAAGAGAATTTCCGTGCACAAACAAATTCGGGTTTTATAAAAAAGCAAGGAAGCTCAACTTCTTAAATCTGATTGGTCCCAAAGGCGAAGGGAATGAGAAGCTGGTCAGGAAATTCTACATTAGGGTGGCAACAAACTTGAGTAATGAGATGTTTATACGGTACCAGCATGTCCTCATTACTCCGGTGCGCATCAGAGATCACTATGAGCTTCCCGAAGTTGAAAAGTGCCAATATCAGTGGTATCTCAACAATCAAAAGATCATAACAGACTCAATGAAAGAATGCTTGATTGTTACATGTCCCCCAAAAACACTGGGGGAAGGGATAATGGCTCTCCAACAAGTACAAAGCCACACTGATGAAGATATGCATCAAAAAAAGATTAAAGTTGGCCCTTTCTCTGTTTCTAATATGGTGAATGAATCTGACTTGCGGTTGATTCAATATGTTTTTGAACAATCATGGTTAGATTCATATATCCCAACTATATTATATTAATTACTACTTTCAATTCTAAATATAAAACCTAGTTTGTAGTGCAGTTGATTCGATATATTTTTTTTGTACAACGAACTATGTCTCATATTTAGAACCAAAAGTAGTACAAATTAGTATTTATATGTGTTTATTTGTGTTTTATAAAAGCTTAAATCATCCATCTTATATTGTCTTTATCGAGACATTTTTTCTTCACGTGTTTAATTTGAAACAATCTCAATTCACTACAAAAAAAATATGTTAATTCTAGCGGTTAGAGTGTTACATTTCTAGCGGTTTTAACCGCAACAAATAACATTTGTAGCGGTTAAGGAAACCGCTAGAAAAACAGGTGCAAGAAAAAATTTCTAGCGGTTATCGCAACCGCTACACATCATGGTCAAAACGATAGAAAATTTCTAGCGGTTCCGAACCGCTAGAAAATCTGAAGGAGACACATTACTAGCGGTTTTATAAACCGCTAGAAACCTGTAAATAATTTCAGTAGCGCGCGAAAATTACTAGCGGTTATAGAACCGCTAGAAATTTTTGTGAAATTAAATTTTCCCGCCAATTGAATTT